ATCGTAACAGATATAATTCTTCATTATAAGTTACACACTTTTATTTTTATTTTTATAAATTAATTTATATTTAAATTGTTTTTTAAAGAATATTTTCATAAAGACAATATAAGAAATCTATTTTAATTTCAATTTTTTAACAAAAACAGCTTAGATAAATATTATTTATTGCGTATTAGTTGTCGTTGTGAATTTCTAACATGATGAGTACCTAAGACCGGTTTTATTTCATTTATTTGAGACTTAATGAAGTATTTGTTCCAAAGAGCATGAAATTTTGCCGGAAATGTTTTCAAACTTAAACAATACGTAAAATCAACGAACATTGTTTTACTATAATCAATTGGAATTTTTCTTTCATATCTACATAGATCATCTTCTCTCGCAATGTATTATAATTTTTTGTCGATAATGGTTGATTAATATTATATTTTTGAAATACATAGCTAAATTGTTTCTCTATAAATTCGCCAGGATATTTATTTAATAAAAAAATCATTCTTAATTTTTCAAGTTCATTTAAATATGCTTCGAATATTGAACAATATTTAATAGTGCGAATTAACATACTAAATAGAATATTCTTTTTTATATGCGTAGAATAAACACTATTAAAAGGTAAATAATATGACTCGTAAGATGGTTTATGATAAACTTCTGTAAATAATTCGTCATTTTTATTTTCTATATATAAATCAAGAAAATTTGTTGAATAACCAACTTGTGCTTCTAATTTAATGCTTGAATCAAATTTATTCCATCGATAAATTTCTTTCAATAAATGTTGAGTAGGCCAATTAATCGTAATAAATATATCATCAATATATCGCAAATACAATCTATCACCATTGTTAATTTGTTTTATGATATCTTGTTCAAAAAAAAACATATAACAATTAGCAACTGTTAATGTTAATGGAGAGCCCATAACATTACCACGTACTCGATAATAACATTTACCATTATAAGAAAAATAATTATTTTGTACAATGAATCAACACAAAAGAATAATAGTTTCAATTTTTAAACCATTAATTTGTTTTATATTTAAGTAATCTAGCATTTTTTGTGAAACACGATCTGAAAGGAGTGTTGAGGTGTATAGGGTAGAAATTTTGGACCCACTCCCCCCGCCCCCTTCCCCACAGACTGTGACAGAGAAAATTCATACCCATCACAGACCGTGACAGAGAACCTTCGGACCAGGGCTGCCAAACCTTTTGGTTTTTTTACTTTTGTCCTGGTTAAAAATTCTCCTGGTAGCAGGAGCTGGTTTTTGAGATTTTCTCCTGGTTTCTCCTGGTTTCTGAATTTTCTTTTAATTTTGACTTTTAGAGACATTTTGAATCAGTAAAATGAGATAAACGAAAGAGAGAAAAGAAAGAAAAGAACAAGTGTATCATCCTACTTGATAAATGCAACAACCAATAAGGAAATATGTTAACCTTGTTGTTAATTATATAATAAAGCCAAAGAATCATTCAACTGTTATAAATGAATCCTACTGCAAGAACTTATATGTTGTCGATAAAAAGAAAGAACATCTGAAGTATTTATGAGAATGTCTTCATTGTAAGAACATGAAATTATTGAAATAGCGAATTCATCAAAAGAAAATATTGTGCCACAAGCCAAATCTAATTCATTGAAAAATAATTTAAAATCTAAAACTTCATTACCACTACCATCTCGTACAGTGCCTAAACGTTACCTATCAAAATTTAAAAAAGAATGGTTATCTGATCCACAATATTCTACATTTTTAAGAGAGTGCAAAAATGATGCAACAAAAGCGTTATGCATTCCGTGTAATATTCAATTTTCAATTCAAAATAGTGGAATGACTGATGTAAATAATCATATGAAAACAAAAAAACATCAAAAGTGTCTTAAATCTATTGAATCAAACAAATGTAATATTTTCTTTACAATTTTAATAGAAAAATCTTCCTATTGTGTTATAATTATTTCTTCTTTGTAGCAGAAGCAATACATTCAATATTTAATTCAACTACGTCAGAACTGAATCGAGTATCTGCTACTGAAGGAGTTTTAGTGTTCCACAGTGTAAAACATTTCCATAGTTATCTCTGAGGAAAATATTAATTGCTTGCGTAAAAGAATATTTCAATTTTTTTCGAAAAAAGACAGTGAAAAGTTTCTTAATTTTAATATAAATCTCCTTAATTATTCTCCTGGTTTCAAACAAGGATCTTCTGGCCAACCCCTGGTTTTTTTCTCACGAACTCCTGGTTCGCTAAAGTTGGATTTGGCAGCCCTGGATAAGTCATGCTGCACCTAGCATAGATCCTGCCCCAATTCGCTTACAAACTTCTTATAAAGCTTCTATTTTTGTTCCAAGTAGACCTCGATGAGCTCTATCTAATTATATAAATGAATTTTCAATGGCTTAAACTAGGTGGTCAAGAAGTCAAAAATACCAGCGGCATAGCCGATGAGTTATGAGCATTGTACGATAGATCCTGCCCCAATTCCCTTAGGAACTTGTTTCAAAACTCATATTCTTGTTCCAAGTAGAACTCAATGAGCTCTATCCAATGATATAATTACAGTTTTCATAGCCTAAACTTTGCACGAGAAAAATCCAAAATACTGGTTTTTTTTCCATACATTTCATAGAACCCCACAACAAAGATCCTGCTCCCCTTCGCCCACGAACTTGTTCCAAAGCTTCTATTCTTGTTCCAAGTAGAACTCGATGAGCTCTATTCAATGGTATAGTGAGATTTTTGATAGCCCAAACTATGCACGAGAAAAATCCAAAATACTGGTTTTTCACCATATATTCCTTAGAACCCTTTCCGTAGATCCTGTCCTGATTCTTCCAGGAACTTCTTTCAAAGCTAATATTCTTGTTCCAAGCAGAACTCGATCAGCTCTATCCAATGGTATAATTAAATTTTTGATAGTCCCAACTATGCATGAAAAAAATTCAAAATATTGGTTTTCTTTCCATCCATTCCATAGAAAACTTTTCGTAGATCCTGCCCCGCTTTGCTCAAGAGTAAGTCTCTGAGAGACTCAGACATCCACGATGGAGGTACCTCTCAGAATTCACTGATTTTTTGATATATTATAGA